CTCACTCCAACCTCTGCCTCCTGGGTTCAAGGGATTCTCCTGCCTCAGTCTCCCAAGTAGCTGGGATTACAGGCATGCACCACAACGCCCAGCTATTTTTTTTTTTTTTTGTATTTTTAATAGAGATTGGGTTTCACCACGTTGGCCTGTCTGGTCTCCAACTCCTGACCTCAGGTGATCCTCTGCCTCGGCCTCTCAAAGTGCTGGGATTACAGGCGTGAGCCACCGTGCTCAGCCCACAATGATTTTTTAATGAAGAAGTTACTCCATTAAGTTCAGATGTTCCTGAACTTAAATTAGCCCTCTTTATTAATATTTAATATGGAATATTTAGAAACGCCACTGCATGGCAGGGAAGTAGAAAAAATATATTTTTCTAAATTGTACTAAAAAATAATATACTACAGAGACAGTTTTCAAATAAAATATGTGAATGAAATTTCAAGATTTTTCAAATTCTGAAACATACACGTTATCTTTTTGTCTCATGAATACTCATAATTTTCAGTCATGAGCTAAAATACACACACACACATGCACACTCTCCTTATTTTCCAAAGCATGAAGGCTTAAAGTTAAGTAAACAGGTGTGTGTGCGATACACACCTTTCCTCCCTGTTACCGCAGGCACAGAGGGAGGTGGTGGCCAGAGTCGATGGGGAGTGACAGGCTGTGGTGGTAATGAGGGCCACCAGCCATCATTTATGGATGAAAGCGTCCTTGGTTACATTTTGTAAAGTCCAACATATTTATTCTTTAAAAACCGGACAGCTTGTTAAAAAGGTGATTTACACATTTTGACTTCCTTTCTCCAACACTGAAGCTTTGACAGGCAATTAAGAATTCTCAGTTTTTAGGGTCAAATTTTATAGTTACTGGAATCCCACAGCACAAGTGGAGCAGGAGGTTGGAAGAGTGGTCGTTGGTAGCAGACGTAGCAGGGGTCTCGGTTCGGGGCTTTAATAATAACTGATAATGCTCTATGACTGGTTTCCGCTGAAGCAGATGATTTGGAAAAGGGTCCAATCTGTTGAGGTGTGTTTTGTGACAGGAAGATTCCCAGCGGTTGGGCAGGATTCAGAGGCCTTTCTGGATGTGGACCTGAAGACTACAGCGAAGGCAGGCAGTGTGGCCGGACGCATGAGAGCTGGGCTGTGGGGCTTTTCCCGGCAGGAGCCGCAGGGTTGGGGTTGAGGCTGGCACTGAGCCCACAGTCAGGAGCGCAGGAAGAGTGGCCCAAAGAGACTGGATGTCCTCCACGGGAGGTGCAGACCCGAGCACGTAACTTCAGTTCCGTAATGTCCTAATACATGAAGACGTGTGCTTTGAACTTTATTGGAATAAATTTATTTCTCTTAGCCAAAAACTGATTCAGTTCACTTCCTAGAGCATAAAACTCTATTTTCAGTTTTCTCTTTGGAATTCAGAAATTCTCTAAGGGCATGAGGAAACCCTGGGAGGAGGGTAGACTTTTCAAAAGTGTCAACGCGGTCAGTTCCTGGCTTCCCCAAGGATGGTGAGTGTCGGAACTGACTTGGTTTCTTCTTGGGGAACCCCAGGGCACCAAGCACTCTGCCTTTGCTTGGTGTGGCTTTGCTTACGGCAGCTTCCTACAATCTCACGCATGGCCAACAAGGAGCATGTTAGCTCCTGAGCAGATGCTCTGTGAATTTCAGCTCTGACAATGACCTTGACCACACGAACACCATCCTGAAAGGCCTGAGCAGCCACTGCAAGGTGGGTAGAGAAGCCAGGTTCCATCCGTGAGCCACGGAGAAAACTTGGAGGAAACTATGAAACTCGGAGGAAGCAAAGGCCCAGAAATGCCCTGGAAGAAGCGGCTGCTGATCTCGCATCCAGACTTGCCTGAAAGCAGATTGTGTAACTTACACTAGTTACCCGGCTTCTATAACAATAAACCAAACAGTGAACCAGTGATAAGCCAAGCTGTGACCTTCCTTTCCCTGTTTTGTTAACATGTTAGTATCTGCCATCAGCATTATTGTTAACAACTTTCACAGCTTCTGTTCATTTGATATGTAATTTTTATTGCTTTCTTTGACAAATTACAGGCTAATAATGCTTATGTGGTACTCATGGGCTTACAAATAACTTTGTTTAGGTTATTCCATTTGTTTCTCTCAGTATTTCTATTTTATGGTAGAGTTGGCATTTGAAGCCCATCGTAAGGACAAGGAAAGCCCAGCTCAGAGTGAGATGTCCAGCCTGCCTCATGTAGCTATGGCATAAACGTGCCTGGGTGCAGACGCCTCCCTTTTCATTGCAGGTCACAGCCGTCTGCCCCTCGTGCGAGGCCGTGAGCCTCTGGGGCTCTACGTGTGTTCAGTGCCTCAGGGGGCAAAGCTGATGATCTTTCTCAAGACCACAGCATCGATAAAGGGTCCTGATTCATGGAGCCTGGGCCCACTGTCTCTACCTCACATCTTATTCCCGCTACATGAATGACGGTGTAAACATCTGAAGGCAGAGTTAGGACTCAGGACTCAGATTCCTTCTCACCACTGACTTTACGGGGATGACCACAGTACTGACCCTGTTGAGAGCGCTCGGTGTTCAGTCCTCCATGCATTTGGTGCATACGTCACCAACCCTGAGAATCAGGAAATGCCAACTCCCCGAGAAGACACTGTTGTTAGCACATGTGAGCTGGAGCCAAGCAGTGACCACGAGTGTCCTTCACACGCTCCACCAGGCATCCCTGATTCATGAGAGGGGGGCGCTCCTACCCCACGCTGCCCCGGGGTCCCTGCAGGCCCCACCCCAGTCCAGCTAGCTCCAGGCAAAGCTGCCCCTGGCCCACACTGGCACCACCTCCTGTTCCTCCTCAGGCCTTTGGAGAAAAACAGGCTCTCCTGAAAGAATAAAAGCGTAGAGCTCTGAGATGGGGATAATTGGAGGGTGGGACACAGAGAACTTTTGAAGATTCTTCTAAAGTCTGTTTTTGGTCTGAGGGTTGGTTGGCCAAGAGTATTGAATACGTGACTGTTTATGGAGGTGTTCACTGGTGAGTTGTGTGCGCGTGTGTGTGTGTGTGTGTGTGTGCTGTAGCTCAATGTAAAATGTGCCTAAAAATAGCAGTCTCTGCCCTCTTCATGTGGGGAGCCAGGGAACTTGGCTGTTGTCCTCAGTAATCTGCTTGACCTAGCTGTTTGTTTACCACTAGATGAAGGTCAGCCTTGCTTTGTGTATATCACACCGGTTAACGTGAACAAACGAGAAATGATGGCGATGAGCCCATTTTTAGTCAGCACTTATTTAATAAGAATTAATGGATACTTGGACAAAAGTATGGATATAAGTCTCTCAATATTTAATAAGCACCTAATTCATGTGGAATATTACACGATGTGCCTAAAATAGTCTCCCAGCATTTTAAAGTGTAAAGATTAATTTGTTATAGCAGACACCCAGGATCAAAGGCCCCATGGGAAGCGATGGACTCTGAGGGACGGGTGCTCACCAGGAAGACCAGGAAAGGAGATCAGAAAGGGCTGAGCGAAGGTGGAGGCGGAGCTCCTTGCCCTCCCCACGCAGGGGACCTCCTTTCTCCGGCTTCTTCCCCTCTCCAGCTCCACTCAGTCACCTCCACCTTCACCTCTGTCCTCCTGCAAAGTCAGGAGTATCTTGTTCATCGCCATCAGGCAGAATATCAGCTACAAGTAGATAAACCTTACGTGCTGATTCAAGAAACACTAATTAGGATGAGAATGTCCCCTAGACAGGGATGTCTGCTTTTAAAAAGAATGATTTTTAAAATAGCAAACTCTGGTCTGATAGATTTGGCTCAAAAATATGCAGAACTGTGTTATACCATCTCTGTTTCCTACCCCTTCTCCCACACACCCCTCCCTGCCTAAGAAAGCAGCAATGACACTCACATTTGAAAGATTATTAAAGCATAACTCAGTGAAGACTTGTTTTTTTAACAAAATATGTTTGTTTTGTTCTGTATTTTATCTTCAGTTAGTGGCTTGAGACCATGGAGGTATTATGGGTCATATAAATTAATATGCATTGTTTTCTTCTTTTTCTTTCTTTTTTTAAGATAGGGTCTCACTCTCTTGCCCATGCTGGGGTGCAGTGGCATGATCTCGGCTCACTGCAAGCTCTGCCTCCCGGGTTCAGGAGATTCTTCTGCCGCAGCCTCCCAAGTAGCTGGGACGACAGGTGTGTGCCACCATGCCCGGCTAATTTTTGTATTTTTGGTAAAGATGGGATTTTACCATCTTGGCCAGGCTGATCTCGAACTCCTGACCTCAAGGGATCCTCCCACCTCAGTCTTCCAAAGTCCTATGATTATAGGCGTGAGCCACTGCGCCCAGCCAATATGCACTATTTTCTTAAGAAAAAGTCTACAAAAGTGTACATGACATTTCTCTTTTGCAAATAGGTATATGTAAAGTATGTTTTTAAAAGATGTTGCATGACAGGGATGAACTACTGAATTTGAGACAGTTGGTTTGTTGTTGTTAATACTTGGCCATGATTGGGTTCTCAGCAAGTGGAGTGTCATGGAGCAATGGAAGGGGACCCAGCTTCTCCCAAAGCTCCCCTGTCAATCAGAAGCGCACACGTGGTCCTAGAGAAGGGTGGATGCTGAGTGCGGAGGGTGCCTGGGCTGCTCCAGCCTCACCCCATCAAGAGCTTTAAGTGCTCCATCCAAAGGGTCTTTGAAAGAATAACGAGTAAGAATCTTGCAGACAATAACTCCAAAATTTCCGGAGCACTGTTCTTCCCCTGACAGTTGCTTTTCATGTTTCATCGAATTAGAAGTAGCTCCTGTTACCAGGGGAATTCGGGGTTTGGCCTTGGTCTCAGCGAGCCTGCTGACCGTACTGAGGTGCCTGAGGAAGGGGTGCAGTTGCCCCGTGTCCTGGGTCCAGGGTAGAGCCCTGCGTCAGCCTTGAAGCTCACGGAGGCAGGCCTGCACCCCTCGCCGCGTTGCGGGGCCTCCTGGACAGCTCTCTCCCCTCCTCCAGGTGGAACGCGTTCGAGGTGCTCGCCCTGGACGGAGTCAGCTCTGGGGTCCTCCGGTTTTACACCGCCCAGGATGGCGCCGACTGGCTGCGGGCGGTCTCAGCCAACATCAGGGAGCTGACCCTTCAGAACGTGAGCACACGTTGTTTCTGAGTCTCTGCTGATGCTCATTTGTGCATGAAAAATAATTGAGACATCAGATTTTTGATGATTGATGATTAACCCTAAACAAAATCATGTACTTGTTTCAATGTGTCAAATCTCTGACTATAACCATTAAAAATCAAGCCATCAGAATGTTTCCAAATCAAAGAGTGTGACTACATCTGACAGCTGGGAATTTCCCACCTGGTTTTATCTTCCTCCTCCCCTCTGTCTGCCTCTGTCTCTCTCCCTCCCTTCCTCTGTCTTTCTCTCCACATATATTTACAGAAATAGTTATGCGTCATAATTTTATATTTTACCCAAATGCATTGATACAATGTGACATTTTGAGTTGGGGAAACCCAATTGGGTTAAAAGTATAATTCCCCCAAACGTTATGAAGATTTAGAAAAAGGCTTAATTGAGCAAAAACATTACTTCTCAAATTTGTGCTGCAGTCCCCCAGAAAAGAAAAAACATTGTATCTTTCAGTGATGTGTTTGATAATAAAAGTCAGCAGGACATTTTAAAGATAAATGAAAAGAGATGGGGTGGGAGCAAAGACTCGATGATGTGGGAGTTGCCTGGAGTGGTGGGTGTCTGGATACGGACAAGGAGCTGTGGCCGCAGGCCTGGAGACTGTGGCAGGACTGGCCCTGCCTGGAGGGGGCCCTGGACTGACCTTACTGTCGTTGCTCCCTCCCAGCTGACTTGCCTTGTAATTGCACTTCGATCCCTGCTCTGTTCCGGCGTAGCCTGGAGGCTGCAGAGACTGGGTCCAGCTTGCAGACCGGCCAGGCACGGCCCACCCTGCAGCCCTGCAGAGGCACCCGCCCTGCCCCTGCCCTGCCTTTCCCTGCCCAGCACCCCACATCTCCTTTGCAACCTTGCTGCTTCCTGTGGCTGCTAAACAGAAGTTAACCTGTCACTGGGGAAAGCAGTAATGTGTGAGATTTCTCCTGTAGAGACCTCAGGGGCTTCCTTTCTGCAACCATAGAAGGAAGTACCAGGACCTTTCTAACATCGTAATTTTCAGACGCGACACTTTGAATTCCAAAGTTATCTGAACAAGTAGAAAGGGAAGAAAGGATGGTGCTTGACTCATATTTGCAGAAATGCTTGTGACAAGGAGCGCCCTTCAGTTCTGTGTCATTTCACACATCACCCCTCATAAGCAGGGCAGAGAAGTCAGACACCCCAACACTTCAGAATGGAAATGTGGACTCCGAGCCACCTTGCGGCTGTGTGGCTGTGGGCTGTTTGGCTGTGGGCTCTGTGGCTGTGGGCTGTGGGCTGTGGGCTGTGTGGCTGTGGGCTGTGTGGCTGTGTGTGTGGCTGTGGGCTGTGTGACTGTGTGACTATGGGCTGTGTGGCTGTGGGCTGTGTGGCTGTGTGGCTGTGTGGCTGTGGGCTGTGTGGCTGTGTGGCTGTGGGCTGTGTGGCTGTGGGCTGTGTGGCTGTGTGGCTGTGTGGCTGTGTGGCTGTGTGTGTGGCTGTGGGCTGTGTGGCTGTGTAGCTGTGTGGCTGTGGGCTGTGTGGCTGTGTGACTGTGGGCTGTGTGGCTGTGTGGCTGTGGGCTGCTGTGGGCTGTGTGGCTGTGTGGCTGTGTGGCTGTGGGCTGTGTGTGTGGCTGTGTGGCTGTGTGGCTGTGTGTGTGGCTGTGTGGCTGTGGGCTGTGTGGCTGTGGGCTGTGTGGCTGTGTGACTGTGGGCTGTGTGGCTGTGTGACTGTGGGCTATGTGGCTGTGTGGCTATGTGGCTGTGGGCTGTGTGGCTGTGTGTGTGGCTGTGTGACTGTGGGCTGTGTGGCTGTGTGGCTGTGTGGCTGTGTGGCTGTGGGCTGTGTGGCTGTGTGTGTGGCTGTGGGCTGTGTGGCTGTGTGGCTGTGGGCTGTGTGGCTGTGTGTGTGGCTGTGGGCTGTGTGGCTGTGTGACTGTGGGCTGTGTGGCTGTGTGGCTGTGTGACTGTGGGCTGTGTGGCTGTGTGGCTGTGTGACTGTGTGACTATGGGCTGTGTGGCTGTGGCTGTGTGGCTGTGGGCTGTGTGGCTGTGTGGCTGTGTGGCTGTGTGGCTGTGGGCTGTGTGGCTGTGTGTGTGACTATGGGCTGTGTGACTGTGTGACTGTGGGCTGTGTGGCTGTGGGCTGACTATGGGCTGTGGGCTGTGTGGCTGTGTGTGTGGCTGTGGGCTGTGTGGCTGTGTGGCTGTGGGCTGTGTGGCTGTGGGCTGTGGCTGTGGGCTGTGTGACTGTGAGCTGTGTGGCTGTGGGCTGTGTGACTGTGGGCTGTGTGGCTGTGGGTTGTGTGACTGTGGGCTGTGTGACTGTGGGCTGTGTGGCTTTGTGGCTGTGGGCTGTGGGAGTGTTATGATTCTGCACCTCCACTCCCTCGTTAGTGAAATTTTGGAAAACAGCATCTACCTCCATAGGTCATTGGGTGAACTAAATAAAAGAAAGATTATCAACTGTGATAACCGTAATTACCATCACAGTAATACTGACTGTCAGAAGGTTATGCAGAGCAGAAATCATTTCCTCACTTTTCTCAGATATTGGAATTTAAGCACCTGCTCTCCCATAACTTCACCTACATAAATGCTGATATTTGAAAAAGAGGAATTGAAGTCTGCTAGTAAAGTTTTTTCCACTGCTGCCATGCTTGTATTGACTCTGGCTAGGTTTTCAGATAGGAAATGTGTCATTAAAGAAGCCTGTTTCCCAGGACAGAGTGTGGCTGATGACTTCCAGCTGTCACTCAGGTGAGCCGTCCTGCTGTTGGTGGCTGTGGCGCTGACTCTCTGCCTTTTCTCCACAGATGAAGATGGCGAACAAATGCTGTTCTCCTTCCGACCAGGTAGGGTTTGTATTTTCTGCTTCATGATGAAACACATCTCAAAAAGCAGTCTTTTTGGTTGTTTGAAATTTAATTTGGAAATGTTGATAGGAAAACGTTAGCACATTTCAGACTGCATTTTGTGGTCTCTGCCCTCCCTGTTAATTCTGTAAAACTGCTCTGTCTATGGGAATAGCATAGGTCATTCTGATCTCCTGTGTATGGATGATTTCTCCATTGGCAGTTATGTTTTTTTGTAAGGAATCGTGATTTAAATGATGATTTAGATATGTTTGTTTAAACTGAGAAGTGCTTTGTAATGACACACCCGTGCAATTTGAAATTTTAAGCATTATATTATTTTCTTAAATAAAATCCTTACTAGGAAAGCTTCACTCTCGGGAGGGCTTTGACCCAATGGGTGTTATTGCCGGTCGATAGGATCCTGCCATCCCCAGATCCAGGCAGTTTGTTTACCTGGAGCCCAATGCCCTTAACGTTGTCCTGGATTCACGATGGCTACCTTTGTAGCCACCCTCAGGCCTGATTTTCTGCTCACTTCCCAGGTCTGTGAGTACTTAGGAAAACTCTATTGTTATCAAGCTGTTTGAATATCAGGCAAATCAGCTTTTAAGCCACTGTGTTATTCTTCTGTTTCCTTTATAATAAACTTATGGGTTAACTTGTAAGGGAGTATGTTACTTACAGTTCATTCATTTTTGGTTATATCTCTTATGGGCTTAAAGAAACATACATCATAGCCTCAAGAAAACTGAGAAAAACGTGTTCAGTTTGCTTTAAAGCCTATCAAATATTTACTGAAAGAATGGGAAAATAGGGCTGTGTTTTAAATTAAACCTCTCTAGTCAACATTTCTACATTAGAAAAGAAACAGAATAAATAGTTCTTCTAAATCTTTTATCTCTTAATATTATTCTAAATTTACCATCAGCTATTTTTGTTTACATAGCTATTTAATGATTATTTCAATAAATTCTTCAAATTAATATAGGATTTGTTTCATATTCTTATACATAATTTCCCTACTATGTGTTTTTGTAACAGAAGTTCTGAAGCTTTTCCACAAAGTGCGTATGTCTCTATGGTTCACAGAGGAAACACTTTATCTCCACCTTTTTATCAAAGCTGGTGGGACGGTGGGCCAAAGTTTTGCCATAGTCTCTATGAATAATTCACCATTTGATATTGTGTCTTATTCACCATTTGATATTGTGTCTTATTCACACACTCAAATTAGCAGAATGTCTCCTGAGATCCTCTTTATGGCAAACCTGAGACTCTTCCGAGATCTTGGGAGGAGTCGCAGCTCTGGTGTTTCTCAATTTTGGCTGCTGCTTCTCTGTTTCTCAGTTTGTTTGCCACGAGGACAGCCATCCTCTCCCGGCCCCCAGAGGGGTTGTCACCTTGCAGACAGATCCTTTATGCTAAACGGCGATGCCCACAGGTGGAGAGCATGCGTGGGAACGGGCAGCGTTTACGGACTTGGCCTTTATGTGCTTCAGAGAACATGCTGACTTTCGTAGCTGTTCTGGAATTACTTCTCATGTTGGAAAGAGCACTGCTCCAGAGAGGAAGGCATTTTCTTTTTACTTTGGAATTTAATCCTCCTTATCATCGACTCATAAGAGATGATGAAATAGTAGTTCAGAGAAACATAAAAACCTGTAGAGAGCACATCTCCTGGTACGGAGCACGTTGAAGGACCGTCTGTCTTCCGGAGACCTCAGAGGCAGTGGGTGGCCTTGTTTTTGCTTCATCTCGGTGAAATTCTACCACATGTTAAACGTTGTGTGTTTCACATCCATCTGGGTGGCCTTGTTTGACAAAGCAAAAAGCCAAAGGCAAACCGTGGACCTAATAACCCTGACCAGACCCTTATCTGGTGGTGTAATTTTAACAAATTCACTCCAGAGGGTTAATTTCTTTATCTGTAATATAAGAAAGTTGTACTGGGTAATTTAAGGTCCTTTTTACAACCTTAAATGTTCTATACAACTTTGAATTTACTTAGTGGCTTGGAGTAGCTTATTTGGAAATTAATCTTAGAACTGAGCTTCACTATGTAGGATGATGAAGAACTAGCCCTGCTAGATCCGGATGCGCTTTTGGTGGAGGATGGTTTCACGTTTTCTCCAAAAGTGGTGTGTGTTGTACAAATGTTAGGAGTTTGCATTTAAGACGTTAGGCCCTTTAAAACAGAAAGAAAATTTCTTCTCACTCTGAACAATTCATTCTTGATTTTGGTATTTAATAAATAATTGTGAGATAATTGTTAATGTGAAAAATGCGAATTTTATGTGAAAAAAATTTTTGTGAAAAGATAAATAAAGGTGTTTAACAGCCAGTGAAATTGGCAAACAAAAACACATGAAAAACAGAATTAGGAGAATCTACAAAAAGCATAATGTATGCATTTTTAGACTCTCATATCTGGTATAAAAAATAACCAAATAATTTATCACGCAAGCCAGAGCACTTTTGTCTGGGACAAAGACTAACCTGAAAACAATACCAAGATAACTGCAGACACACACATGCCCACCCCACCAAACACTGCAGGCACACACATGCCCACCCCACCAAACACTGCAGACACACACATGCCCACCCCTCCAAACACTGCAGACACACACATGCCCACCCCTCCAAACAGCAAGCAGTCCTATTTCTTTCCAAATTAAACTTATTTTTGAATAACCTGAATTTTAATTTACGTAGATATCGATGCTTTAATCGCCAAATCACCCTGACCCACTGCAGAAAACCCTGAATAACACAAGTAATTCTGGCTTTTTCCAGCTAAAGGAAAAGACCAGCTGCATGTTATCATCTGGTGGACATTTAATTATCTTGACTGATCAGGTGAAAAGAAAAGGACTTTCTTATAGAAATGGTATCAAAAAAGATAAAAGATATATTTCATTATTATAATGGTTATGACATCTTAATTTTATTAAGGTGGTACAATCAGGGAGATGTGTCTAAAAGTATAATACACACTTCTTGGAACGTGTAATTAGAAAATTCATAATGTAGAAGATAAAATTAGCTTTGCTTAAAATTATTTATGAACTGCATATGCCGAAGGAAGATTCAGAAAGCATCCGATGTTTCCAACCCTGGCAAAGCTATAACGTATTTCTTCGCTAAATCTAGCATAATTCAATTACATGTGTGATTTAATTAAGCTCACATCCAACTAACAGATATTTCAGATTACTGGCAGTCTATTATTGCCATCTTGGGCTTACAGTAGCTCTTTATTCACTCCTTAATACATAACTCTCCTTGAACTTTGTGCCAAACATTGTGTCAACCAGATACAGAAAAGAAGAAGAGCCCAACACTGTCCCAGCCCAGGGGGAAGAAAGAGCAGCCCTGGGGCAGGGAGGTGGATGTGCAGCTCATGGGGCCTCCCAGGTCTGGGTGCTCAGATTCCAGCTGGTACCTGCAGCTCCTCGAAAACAGAGTAACTCTACTGAATCTGAATTAGACGGTAATTCCACCGCGTGATCAAGCTCTCCTCCTAAAAGAAGGCTTGCTGCTGCATGCTAGAAAAAGAATCCCAAGTTCTCTGTTTTCGCCAAGATTCAAGAATGCATACTTCCAACTTACTCTCCCTTGATCTACCTGTAATGTAAATCAGTCTCTCACCCATCTGTCCCCTGTATTTAGATATTCCTGAGTGTTACAGCCCTGTCATAGATTAAGTTCCTGCACATCAGTTTCCTGTTCACAGTTCATCCCTTGTGAAATCTAAATTGCAGTGTATGATTAAGTGCTTCATGAACAGAAAGAGTAAGATCAGGGAAACTCAACAGTGTGTGAACACATGACTTAAAAAATGAGGGAGCTGAGGCGGGCAGATCACGAGGCCAGGAATTCGAGACTAGACTGGCCAACATGGTGAAACCCCATTTCTACTAAAAATAAAAAAATTAGCCGGGCGTGGTGGCAGGCACCTGTAATCTCAGCTACTTGGGAGGCTGAGGCAGGAGACTCGTTTGAACCTGGGAGGCAGAGGTTGCAGTGAGTCGAGACCATGCCACTGCACTCCAGCCTGGGTGACAGGGCAGGACTCCAGCCTGGGGCCAGGGTGGTGATGGGGAGGGCTGGGGAAATGAAGGAAGTAAAACCAGCAGAGTTTGTCTGCCCTACAGGCAAAAGCAAAATATCACTTTAAATTTCTCTACGCCATATGAATCTAATCAGGCTTTGACCCTTAGAATTTCTCATCAGAGGAAATATTTGTTTTATGAATGTTAAAGAATCTCAGACCACGTTGCCAGGGACCTGCAGAAGGGAATGTGTTTGCCATTCCCTCGTTTTTTATTTTGCTGATTTTTCTGGATGTGATTATTCTCTACCCCTCCTTCTTACTAACTCTGTGATTTGACGAGGATCTTGGTGTGACTCCTCGTAATAAATATGGGGTCAAACCAGACTTTTTGTGCTTGTTGCTGATTCTTAAAAGTTTGCAATAATTTAGGACTCAAGCAACTTCCTACATTTTCTAGAAATTCTGGTTCTACACTTTGATGCTAATCAATAAGAGAAACGTCTTCCACTCAGCCATCCTGACAAATACGGTGAACTTGTTTTTGCCTGCTGCAATTATCTGGTGGCCAGAGGCTCCTGAAGATTTGGATTTGAAGATATGGTCATCATTGCTGGTGAAACCTGGCCTAATACAGCCTCCTCAAGGCTTCAGCAATGCACTCAAGTGCGCATAAGATGACCCGGGCAGCTGCTTAGGGCCGTGTGCCTGGTCCTCCTGGAATGTGAACTCTTTTCTTGCTGAACAAACTGCCCGCGTAATATTCTTTTCATGACCGTGTGGAAGCCTCTGTGTTTGCAGTTAGTTGTTTTTGGTAACTGTGCTTCAATGAATCCTATAATTGTTTTTATAGTAACTGTGCTTCAGTGAATCCTATCTTAAACTGTACAAATCCCTGCACTCGTGCAGTAGCGAGTTGGAATTAATCACGCATTGAATTCACGTTAATTATGGAAACATCAAGCATCTGCTAAATTTGCTAGAAAAAAATGCATTTTTAAATGGAGCTTTTTGTGATTTACAGAGTATAAATGCTAGTGTTATAACCAACAAAAATATGTGACCCAACCAGACAAAAAAGGAAAAAAAATCTATTAGGTATTTTTAAATAATCTGTGTATTTGGCTTCAAATTCAGACACTGGAGGAGTAAATTACACATTAGTGGCTTTTCCAGGTATGAATGTCCTCGGCCTTAGCTCCTGGCTAGTGCCTTACGAGGGGCTTCCTGTGGTACCCTGTGAAATTCCCACAGTTCTCACGTGAGATCTATAAATTCTATCCCATTTCATAATGGAAACAGAGAGCCTTGGCAATGTTAAATGTGCTTTGCTGGGGAGGGTCTCTGGGGAGATAAAGTCGTCCTCTGTTATCATCATATTAACACCACATCGATGTGGTTCCTGAGCCTCCATGGGACGTAAGGATAACCCATTAGGAACTTGGAAGTTCATGATCCAGTGAAATATTTGGGTTACTTTTAAAAGCCTTGTAAATCCAGAACAGTCAAGAAAGACAACATTAAAACGTTTAACGCATTCGGCGATTCGTATTCAACACTGAAAACCACGATGATGTTAGCTGTTCGGCTACGCCCCCCGCCCTGCAGAACAGTGCTGCTAATTTTCTTTCCCATTGCTAGAAATACCGTTCGTAGAACTCTGATTCTGTCGTCCAGCCTCTCGACGTCCCGGGAAGTCTCATCCAGCTTAAGAGTGAAGAGACCGTCAGTGGTTTATCAAGCAAATAACAGAAGCAGGACTTGCCCTCGGTGGAGCCCGTGCTGGCTGTGACTGGACTTATCCAGGCGGCCCAGCAGAGGGCGCTTCGTGGTGCGTGGGGCTTGCACGCTGGAGGGGTGTCAGGTCCCAGCTGGTTCTCAGCTTGTCATAGCTCATCGGTCAGTGTCGTTTGGTAAAGTGGTCGGGATCTCTGTGATAACTTATTTTTATTTTTCTAAGTGTTCACTGCTAAGCATATGTTCATTGGTTTTCCTTGAAATAGCAGAGTGAGAAAATGAAAGAATTATAATGAAATGACTCCTAGTACTCACTACAAAATATGTGTCACATTAAAATTTTAGATAACATGGATTTTTCTTCAATAATAGTTTGAATTCACGCACTGAATTCTTAAATTGGATTACTATTTAAATGTTTTTGAATCATCTTCTGATTTTTATAGTTTGGATTTTATATGGCTAAAAATATTCACTGCTCATTGTAAGAATCTAATATTTTTGCATTATTTCATTGTTGTTAAGAAGTTGAACCATAAAGGGAAACAATTATTTTCCATATTTGCCAACTACTATGTTCACTATAGGAATGAAAAATATAATTAGCTGTTTTTACTACCTCACAGAAAAATCTGAAATACTACCTTCTAATAGAATACAATTCAATACAGTCTTTTTAAAAGATAAATGAAACCAACAACTCTAAGGCAGCTGAGAAACCCATTCGCCAAAACTGAAAGTGCTCTCATGTAAAACCTGGTTCAATGCAAAACTGAATTTTTAATTCAAGATGTGATTCATTCCTATTGTGTGAACTTGATTTGGAAAATTGGACATCTCCACGTTTCTCCCGTCTCCTGATTCTGGGTGTGTTGACCTGGTGGGAGCACGGCTTGCTCATGTGCTTTACTCTGCTCCTGAGACATTATGCCCTCATTAAGGCTTGGTTTGTAATTTTCAAAGGTTTCCCTTTGCAGGTGGTGCATATGGGGTGGGTAAATGAGAAACTCCAAGGAGCTGACTCCTCTCAAACCTTCAGACCCAAGTTCCTAGCGCTGAAGGGCCCGTCCTTCTACGTTTTCAGCACTCCTCCGGTAAGGATGCCTTTGACACTCCACAGGGAGAGGCTGCCGGGCGGGGGAAAGCTGCGTCTGGTGTTTGGAAGAGGGGGCTGCTGGGAGGGCTGTTCCTGTAGGAGGGGGAAGCTGCGTCTGGTGTTTGGAAGAGGGGGCTGCCGGGAGGGCTGTTCCTGTAGGAGGGGGAAGCTGCGTCTGGTGTTTGGAAGAGGGGGCTGCTGGGAGGGCTGTTCCTGTAGGAGGGGGAAGCTACATCTGGTGTTTGGAAGAGGGGGCTGCCGGGAGGGTTGATCCTGTAGGAGGAGGAAGCTACATCTGGTGTTTGGAAGAGGGGGCTGCCGGGAGGGCTATTCCTGTAGGAGGGGGAAGCTACATCTGGTGTTTGGAAGAGGGGGCTGCTGGGAGGGCTGTTCCTGTAGGAGGGGGAAGCTACATCTGGTGTTTGGAAGAGGGGGCTGCTGGGAGGGCTGTTCCTGTAGGAGGGGGAAGCTACATCTGGTGTTTGGAAGAGGGGGCTGCCGGGAGGGTTGATCCTGTAGGAGGGGGAAGCTACATCTGGTGTTTGGAAGAGGGGGCTGCCGGGAGGGCTGTTCCTGTAGGAGGGGGAAGCTACATCTGGTGTTTGGAAGAGGGGGCTGCCGGGAGGGTTGATCCTGTAGGAGGGGGACGCTACATCTGGTGTTTGGAAGAGGGGGCTGCCGGGAGGGTTGATCCTGTAGGAGGGGAAAGCTACATCTGGTGTTTGGAGGAGGACAAAGACAGTGCTTGGTCCTGCCGTTTGCTGTTTCTACATGGTTGGAAAGGATTCTGCTTGTAGATTGCTTATTTATTGCTCCAAATTTATAAATTAACCCACTTATTTCTTTAGTTCAAATAGCCATTAAGATATTGTAGAGCTTATTTCTTCCTCAAATGCCAGCTGGTTTGGAGGTCGGATGCAGAGGCTCTATGTCTTAGAGGATAAATTATGTAGTTGAAGAAGCCAAGAAACAAACAAAATACAACCCTCTTTTTAGACGTTTCTAATTTCTAAATTTTAAAAGCTTTTTTTCCCTGATATCTCCCAAGTTTTATTTTAAAAATAAGCAGCCTGCTTTAGTGGGGTCCGTAATATAAATTTATGGCTGAATGCTATAGTTCTGCAATTTCATTTTCCAATTCCCACCAGTACCATTCTCCCCAAACTGACCAAATGTAATATATAATGTCTAGAAGTTTATCAATTTAAACAGCTTTGCTTTTGAGAGTCTGACCATCAGAACTGCAAGCAAACTAAAAACCTGATAGTTTCAGGCACCTACACATGTTGGATGCATGTCATGTGCAGTGTTGACGGGACTTTCTTCCATTAAAAGGAAATGAAAAGATAAAACCAAGTTCACCTCCAGACATCAAGACAGTATTACCCTGCCTGTCTTTTCATTGATAAGGATGGCTTTTTAAGTAAATGTTTTACCTGAGAATAATTTTAGATTTACGGAAAACCTGCACATTCAGTGTGGAGAGCCCCATCTACCTCCACTCAGCTCCCCTGATGCACCTGACTTACGTGGCCCCGGAGCATCTGGCAAACCATCTGACGACGGTGTAGCAATACTAACCACACTTCGCCCTCCAGCCAAACTGCAGTTTTTCTACTAAGGCACTTTTTCTGCCCCAGGGATAACATAGGATATCACATTGTCTTTAGCTGCAAGGTTTTAAAATAAACCAGCACTTTGTGCTTACCGCGTCTAAATGTTTGCATGAATAACGATTGAATTCTCCTCAAAACAAGTGTAACCATGTTCTTTAATGTTTGCTGCTAATTTGCTCCATCTTTTCAAATTCAAGTCCCAGAGTTGAACATCTGATTGACTGGGCTGATTTTGGTTTTGAGCAGAGCTGAGATATTCATGCCAGCTCATCTCAGAGGTGCTGAAAGACTCGGAGGAGGTGGCTGGCATGGCATGTGCCCAGCCTGGACCACTTACCACTGACACTGAAGACACAGGAACGGGCTGAGGTGTCGGAGGCCTGCCATGGACCCATATCACTGCACGTGTTGCCAGCGCAGCTGTTTACCAGTAGGCCTTTTATGGAACTTAGGGATTCTTCGAACCCTAATAGGCAGACCCTAATTCAATAACCATTGAATAGCAAGGGTTTAAAAGAGTTAGAGAAGTTTCTTTGCCATGTGTCTTCACGGAAGTTATGTCCTGCCTTGGGACACTCCAAGGCGCTCATAGCATCCAACTCATCTCAGCAAGGCCTGGCTGGTAAATTGATGCAGCATCACAAAGTGTCCCTGGAATCGCTAACGTGGGTAAACTCCTTTGTAGCTTCTAGTGCACTTCTGTCCATTATATAATTTGATTCTTGAGATGACTGAAGGCTCCTCATTTTATTGATGAGTGCCAAGAGCACACAGTGTCAGAGCTCCGTCTTGATACGTCGTAACCGTTTTATCATGGAGACCTATTGTAACATAACTGATAACTAAAAAGAGGTATTTTCATTTCAGCAACACATTGAACAGCCACATTCACTTGCTTTTGTTTTCTCATTTGAGTCTTGCTTTTACAGATGAAGGTCATGTGTAAATAAAATAGTAAACAAATGTATTTGACTGAGGATTGCTTTGGATAATTTATTTAAAATCCTCTCTTAAGAGACTGTGGGTTGTATTAACGCATTTAATGCCAGAATATTCTTACAATGTACTGAAAATCCAGAGTGCAGGCAGTATCCTCTCTGGTCTTCTTCCCCAGTGGGAACCTCCAGCCCTCTCATTCTGGTGGGAACAGTGACTGGAGAGGCCAGGACAGATGCCATTGGCAGATCTCGTCTTGAACAAGGCTGACTCGAGCTAGAAACCCAGTTTCCCAGAGTCTCTGTTCTCACGTGGCTCTGTGAGCATTGCAGGTTGTCTCTGAGGTCATTGACATTTGTGAAATGACGGAACCTCCCTCGCAGACCAAGAGCCTTTGGGCCATTGACAACATGTAGACCCATATCTAGACCCCGATCCACATCTAGACCCCGATCCACATCTAGACCCCGATCCACATCTAGACCCCGATCCACACGCTCGCTGCTCTGCAGGCACCTGCAGCTCCATCTTCTGGAACTCAGAAGTTATGCCTTGAAGTATTTGGCCTGTCATTATTCTTCTTGATACTTGCTGTCATAATTGGTTTTAAACTGGCTTACTTAGCCTGAAAAAAAGTAATAAATACAAATAAGCAGCTTCCCTTCAGTATTCATTTGTATTCTGCTTAGTTGTGAATTATGAGTCCCTAACTAACTACATTTGATTTTGAAATAATTCTTTTAAAGAAATCCTAATGTATCTAAATTTTAAGCTGTGCTTCTTTTTCTTCATACCTGCTGTGGTTAGAGAGTCCGTTTCTTATTTTAAATGCAGTTTCGTTTTGTTAAAATGTAGGTGAGTCTTCCCTCAGGGTCCTGAGGTCGCTGCCGCTCACGCTGGCTGGGCAGTGCATTTGCAAGGGGCAGAGAATCATTTCCTGGGGATCTGAAACCAGGATATGGTTGTGGGGAGTGAGGGCTGAGGAGGGCGCATGGCACTGGGGTGAGGGGCAGGAATCTACCTTGCCCGAAGCCACAGGAGCAGCTGTGTGTGCCGGGAAGCCAAAGTCACGTTTCCACGTGTCCAGGAAGGAAGTGGAAATCGCTAACTCCTCATCCACATAGAGGAAGTGCCCACACCTTAGCCTGCTGGGTTGGGGCTTCCCTTCCCCAGGGCTGCCCGCCTCCTGCCCTTCCTCTGGCCCACAGAGACCGTGCTCTCCGCCACCTGGCTTTGCCGTGGTTTGTTAGGGTTTCTTTCTTGGTCATTTAAACTATTTGAAAACAATAAAAACTAACAGACAAACCCTGTTTCCTCGGGCAACATCGCTTTTTCCATTCCGGATGCTGCGGCTCCTCCCTCCATATCTCTCCCTGTCTCTGTCACTATCTCTTTCTATCTCTCCCTCTCCCTTTCTCCACCTGTCTCTGTCTTTGTCTCTCTCTGTCTGACTCTGTGTCTCTACTTCTGTGCCCACTCTTTGCCCTTCTCGAAGTCTCTTCCTTTATTTGCTTTCCAGTTCCTCAGAGACAGTTTTATCTTTGGTGTGGGAACCTGTACCTTATCTTGTATTCATGACCCCTTTCTTGTCTTGTCCTGTGAAAGTTATATGTCATATCTTTCTCCTTCTGCATACACTCCTGAACATTCCTAGAACTTGATTGTTTCCATTAACTTCTAATTTCTAATAATTTCTGCAGAAGATGACTTGGCACCATCTCCCTTCTCTCTTCAGAGCCGTCAGCAGGCCTTCTTTCCATCATTGTGGTTCTGAAGGCCTCGCTATTCCTTGTCAAGGGTCAGCGAGGACCCAAATGAGCCTAGAGAGTCACTCTCAGGATTCAGTGAACCTGTGAAGTTGAATTAGCCCCAGACAGATTTACCATTAGGCTGCAATTTAAGGAAGCCAGATGTTACTCTAAACTGTACGCATCCATCCAAACTGGTCAGATCTCTGAAATATATAAATTTTGTTATCCTCAAGTAAGCATAGTTTCATAATTTAAATTTTTAAGTGCAAATATGTAACTGTTAATTACACCAAGATAGACTGCACAGTCTGGGAAGCTTTTGAGTCTAGGAGTGCTTAGGAAGCACACATAGACACACACATGTGCACGCCACACACAGACACACCACACACAAGACACACACATGTGCACGCCACACACAGACACACCACACACACCACAGACACCACTAATACACACACCACACACAGATACACCACACACACACCCCATGCACACACCACACATACCCCACACACACACACCACACACACACACCACTCATGCACACACCACACGCACACCACATGCACACACCACACATACACATACCACACACACACATGCACACACCACACACACCACACACCACTCATGCACACACCACATGCACACCACGTGCACACACACCACACAAACCCCCCCACACACATGCA